AGATAGTAGCAATTCCTACAGCAATCACCTTCCGGCAAAGTTGCCGATGATAACTCTATTCGAGATTTTTTTTACAAACAACTCGCCGATGACGAGTATTGAATCCCTAACATATAGTAAGTACCAATTTACCATCGAAACGAACGAATCGTAGTGGCAGCAGTACCACTCTGGACAGCAACACTGCAATTCTTTCTATGCAAGCCAGCATATGTATATCAGTATTCTTGTACTTTTATAGTTGTGCCAATTCTCCCTTTACTTCTGCATCGTTTATGTTCTTCTATTTATATTTAGAACGGGAATAGAAGTACTAAAGTAGCATTACTCTACTGATGGTTGTTTTTCCCCACATCAAAAATCAGGAATGTAATCCAGTATGTTTACAGAGCTCAGCCGTATGCCGATTCGATACATTCATCAGATTTTGAAATACCTTCATTCCTGAATTCTGTGCCTGCGCAATCACAAAGGTAATATAATATTTCTCTAGCAGTGTAATCATTTCTGCCACAAAACATATAGCTGCATGAAAAATTCCGGAACTGAGGACTGATCGCATCCGGAATTTGTCGAGATCTCAGCATTTCTGCAGTCTTTTTTGCTGACCATGTAAGTAAGGCTGTGGCAATAAATATAAAAAGAGTTAGCTAAAAACTCCTCTTGTCCAAGCACTGCTGGCCAAGTCAAACCGTTTAATCTGTCCGGCCCTTAAGGCACTTGTTCTGGTTTAGAAGGCCGTTATTACTTTGTGACCGGATCTGGTCTAAGGCTGAGAGAAAAGATTTTTTTGGTAGTGTGCCAAAGCAGTTATTTGGGGCGCTTGTATCTCGAAAGTCCCCGTTTAACCAAAACTTGGATTTTAACTCAGAGAAGCTGGTCATTCATCTGCAGTGTCCAATTAGACTGAAAAACTGACCATAAAGTTTATCAGCAGACCGCTAAACTTTTGGAATGGAAACATCCAGGCATTAGGAAGAAGCCACAGAACAGTTGATCAGTGTGAGAATTCCAGCAGAAGCATTTACAGAGGAGCAAAGAAAGGTCCCCTACTGAGGAACAAATTTTAATTGAAGTAGGGCTGTTTAAATTTGAAACTACACACTTTATATGGGATTTTGTCCCAGAGAAGTACTGTTGCAAGGTTTGTTTCAGCGACGAATCGGTCTGTCAGTCCTCGAAAACATGGATAATCAGCAAGGGCACCAGAACTGCTGCCGGAGCTCATGCCGAGGACAAAACTCTGACAAAGACAAAAGCCGGAACACGCGCAACCCGAAATGTTGGCAAAAAACAAAGTAGTTCGTCTGAGACTATAAAAAGCATCAGGGTTCTATCAAAGTTTGAACATGAAAACCGAACGAAGATCCCTGCAGAAGGTACCAGACGCAAACCAGCGTTAGCTCAGCTGCACAATGAAGGAAGGGCACAAATGCGCGCAGAATCCGGAAAGGACGCTCAAATGTCAGGAACAAAAAAAGTGGAATCTCGGAAGCCTGCTGATTGGAAAGCAGAGAAACACAGTGGTTTCGAGAGGCCAAAGCCTTCAAAACTGAGTGGAAAAAACAAACAGAAGAAGGCCTTCGTTGACGAAGCTAGCTCAAGGTTTGCGGATCCTCGGCTCATCATGCAGCAACAGAAGACCAGTTCAGCAGCAGCAGCGGC